TATCTTTCCATCTTTCCAGCAAATAATTCCCTGTCGTATCATATTATTAAATTCATTGCAATCTTTTCTAGTGTGTGAAGCATCATCACACCAAATGCATCTTTGTACATATCTTGTTTTGAAACATTCTTCGAATTATTTGTAGAAGTATTCTCTTCAAGTCTTGTCAATTTGATTTGAAGATCTCGCATTCCTTGTATAATTTCTTCCATCCCCATATCTGCTTTCTTCGATAAGGATGTTGAAGGTTGAACTGTAGGCATTGTTGGTGGTGTTGTACGTACTAGAGCTTTGGGTGCTTGTACTGTTTTCGGAATATTGCTCCTATCCTTCCTCCTTTCTTTTTTTGTAAGCAACTCCACCGCATCTTCAACGTTCTTCCACTTCGTTGTCAATCCTTCATCTTCTTCTTTGTCTTCAAGAAGGAGTTCTAATTTCTCTTGCAATTCTCCATCAGCAGCTTGAAGAAATAGATCAACTTTGTTCGGCTCCAATGTCAATTTTTCTACCTTCGATAATTGAGAGTACTGCCTCTCAAATTCTCTTAGTAGCTCTGTTGCTTGCAAATTCTTATTAGGCCGTTCAATCCATTCCAGAAACAACTTCTTAGTAACGCGATCAGCATCTTCCAAGAAATATTCGTCTTTCAATGCATGTGAAAAAACCTCCCATGAATTCCCATAATGATCCGTAATCGATGTAATGTGGTCTCTTATCTCCGGTATCGTAGCAAGTCCAAATAGTTCAACCATTTTCTTCTCAGAAACCTGATTTAATTCCATTTCACGAACATAACATTTTAAATACCTTGAAATATTCCTCCCAGCAAATTGATCAATTTTATTGACCACTGCTTGCAATGCTTTGGTTGCCAAAGCTTCCTTTCGATCATTGCTTTGCTGTTGCTGCATTGATAATGAGAAGGCTTGAAACATACTAGCAATAGACGGATCCATGTGCATACCTTGTCCTTTAGAAGAATCCCCACCAGAAACTCCTCCCAAAAATCTTTCAAAATTTTTATTTTCGTTTTCATAAAATAAAGAGAAAATCAAACAATATCCAATACCTTCCACCTCAAGCTTTCACGTCGGGTTCACCACTTTTGTCGTATTACGTACTTTCTTGCTCGAGAACGCGCCGGGCGTCTTGCTGTAGAAGGTAGTATGGAGATTCGCCAATAGTCAAGCAGTCTATCAGTTTTTGACTGTTGAAATATAAACGACTGCAAGAATATATTGTAAATCTATACGGATGCCCTTCGACTGCTCGCCGAAGTCCTTTTTTGTCCCGGCCGGTAGGTCTCTAAACGTTACAAAGAACCCCGAACAACCCAAACTGTTAATCTTCGATACCGCTTTGTACTTACAATCTTGTATCCACTGACTGTCTTGTTAGATTAACCCAATAAATTTCATTCACTGCGCATACTCAATCTTATAGACACCCTTTCAATTCTTCAATCTTAGACGTAACTCGATTTCACAAAAACAGTCAAGAGTAATCAAACCCACTTCATTAAAAATCTCGATTCACCATTACAACACTGACTTTAGCAACGATTGCCTCAGTCTTCCCAAAACCCTATGAAGAAAAAAAAAAAACCCCAATTCTCTCCCTTCTTTCCCCACCCGAAGCATGAAGCTAGCCCTCTCCATCCTTCAAAACCTCCCCTCCTATTTCTTAACCTTCATTCGGAATTTTTTCAATCCTCCGTCTCGGATCCGGAATTGGATCCCACCGTCAGAGCTTGGATCCAAAATTGGCTATCGCCATCAAGGCTTAGATCCGAAATTGGCTCTCACTGTCACAGCTTTTTCCTTAGTTTTTACCTTTAAGAGATCCATTTACCGAAAACAACGTTCCTTGAAACGGCACAGAGAGCAAGACAGCCTGAAACAGAATTGAAACCACGTAATCGGGCCCACATTGAGTCGCCCGACCAGTTCAGGTCTCATATTGGCTAAGAGTCCAGTAGTAAGACCCGGATGTCCTCGTAATTGGATCAAATTGGTCCTTCACGTCAGATTGGCTGAGGCCCATAGTAAGACCTGGATTTTCCCGTAATTAGACTGCATTGGGTTGACCGGCCAATTCAGGTTTCATATTGGGTAAGAGGACCCGGATTGGATTCTTGAAATTAGATCCAATTGGCTCTTCGAACCAGGCTCACCTGTCGTGTGAATTGATCCTTTCTCTTCTTGCTGACTCCCGTTATTGGAATCGAACGGAGCATTTCAGTATGCCCCAGCTGACTGTAACGGGGTGACTGAACCTGGCCACTCAATATTTGCACTGGAGTTGGTCGTTGCTCCCAATATTCGAGGTAACTGAACATTAATAAAAGTCTCCTTTCTTTATATTTTCACGGTATACTCATGTTACAACACGACATCGTTCTATAGGACCTCCAATATGTGTTGACTTTGTAGGACACATGCCTTGACTTACAAGGCAAGTTTTTCTACGTGTGGGCCACATAATTAGCTTGGACTTTAAGCTAACAACATGTGTGGCACATGACTAACTTGTTGACCACGTTTCTAATCCAAAATGTCAATTAAAGACACCTTTAAAGTGAAAGCAGCTTCTAAGAAGCTTCTAGGAAGCTTTCATATCTAACACTACAGAATTAACTTGCTTTTATCTATTTTTACTTACTTCTATCTATTTATATATGTAATAACTAGCTTACATGAGTATGTCCATGACAATATCTCTACTAAGAACAGTTAGAATTATATTTAAATCTTCTATTTTTATTTTCTTATAATTATTTTTATTATATATATATATATATATAGCATGAACATAAATTAGACACTCAAAAATTCAAAAAGTAGAGTAAGTTGCAAGTCTTCTACTTAATATTTACTTGAGCCTCATGTATTTAGTAGGAATAGATAGAATGAAGATATAAAAATAATATCTATACTAACTATTGTAATCCAAAAGTTTTATTTTTATTTTTATTTTTTTATTTGGTTTTTTGTTTTTTTGTTTTGTCCAAAACTTCTTATTGTATTTTATGCTTCTTCCAACAAAATTTGATTTGGTTATTTTTCTACTTCATTTTATTAGAGAGTACTTATCACAATAAAATGATGAACATTCTTTTTTTCTTTGTAAAATTAATTAAATTTCTTCAATTTATATTTTCTAATTGTTAGATATCAAATACTTTACATTTCTATCACTATGATTCTCCATCTATGTTTTTTATTCTTTAATGATGATAAAAATCTCAAATTTTGTCTAATCATATAAACATATATCTTCTTTAGGTTCAGCTAAAAGAAAACATAATGTTCTAACTTAAATATATATATATATATATATATATATATATATATAGTTAAGCCTTAATACATTTAGGTGTATGTAATTTGGCCCACCTTTAATACCATAGACATCAATATTAAAGCTGAATTTACAATACTTTTTCAACATATAGTCTTTAGAAAAATCTATTTTGCAAGAATTTGTTTCTATTAAACATTGATTCTTGTGTAATTACATAAGTTATTAATTTTTTTACATAAATAAATTGTACATAATATAATTGAGTGATATTTATTAAACTTCTTTCTTGAATAAATATATCTCCAATTCAATCTCTAACAACATCTTCTACAAGTTTATATTTACATTGTTCTTTATTATTATAAAATTTTATTTATATATTTACATTCAAAATCTTATGACCTAAATCAGAAAGTCTAGCCTATGTAAATAATAAACCTTTATCTTTTTTTGGATCTTTGTTTTGTGCACTTTCTATGAAAACATTTCAACTTTTTGTAATTAAAATGCGTGATCTTTAAATTATGTTATCAATACAAAGATTTTATCTTTTTATTTATTATTTTTATTCTAATAAATAAAATTTTAAAATATAAAATCTTAGTGTATCTTTCTCATTCTATCAGATATAAAAAATAATATAGTAACCTCGACTAGTTCCACTACATTCTTACCATATATGAGGATGGTAACCAGATCCTCAAACCATAGAGACAACAAAGCCAACAACAACAAAACAGTACCAACAACTTTTATTTAAACAATCTTTGCTGCATAAATCCATACATTCATTTTTGTATAGTTTGTTAAAACATATTTGTAGTTCTTTAATTAACATAAATCAAATTGTTCACACACTTGCTTGCATGACTCAGTCCATTCATATATATATATATATAGAGAGAGAGAGAGAGAGAGAGAGAGAGCGAGAAGAATCATGTCAAATTTTGACTTCTGTTTTCATAAAAACTTGGCAAATGTATATATTTTACATACACATATTTATATACTCACATTGTTGAATCATAACCACAGAAAGGGGGACGAATGATTCAAAGCAGGAAAAGGGTAGGATACAAAGTAGACAAACAAGGCAAAGAGTGACAGAATACGCACTGACTTGTGCGATGCACACGTAAACACACACTGGAAATGGTACCATTTATGCATGGCAGGAGCGTGCATCGAAGTCCATCCGCGACTCCGTGTGACGGAAATAGCACAACTTTAGACAACCCATCCGAAGTGGGTGGCACTGGACACCCACAATAGAAGTCAACTGTCGCAGTGCGAAGTGCCTACCTTGCGGTGAGCAGCTTGCCACAGAATCTCCCCCTTACCAGCAAAAGCACGGAAAGACGTCGGGATTGGCATGGTTTGGGGGAAGTTTAGACTTTAGACCCGCCAAGAGTCTCGTTGGGGTGCCCTCGGCGACAGAACGGATCGGTAGGGGTCCACACTCCAGCTCGCCCCACCCATCCCCCCCAGCTGTTCTTTATAGCAGGTCAACGCATATCATATGCTTATGTCGTCATTTCATTTATGGCAGTTGTCACTTGCTACAGAGCTTTTGCATGGTTTGTACAGTTCCAGAGATTTGAATTAGCAAAACCCCATTTGCAGTAACGTTACGTAACTATCCCCCCGGGACTGCTGCTGGGTGTAAATGCACCGTCTTGGGTGTGAATCGAAACCCCGGGGGAGGACGACATGACTTGGGATGCGCCGATGTGGAGCTGACGGTGGGGATCCCGAAAAAGAGATTGGCGTTGACGATCGCGACGATGGACGTTGTTGCTTCATTCCACATGGCCTTCAGGTGGAGGAGACGGCCTCCAGGATAGCTCTCTAGTGGAAATCTGTGGAAGTGGAAGCGATTCGCGGAAGCAGCTAGGCAACCTCGGGGTTGTTGCTCCTGGCAACACTGGGGAGGAGGGTGAGTTAAGAAGAGACAGGTAGGCGTAGGTGTGAGGACGGTGAGGGCAAGGACAGGTTTCTCTGCTTGGTGATCCATGAGACAGCCGTTTAGGTTTTCCTTTGTTATCAGAGATGGGTCGCACCTCCCGAGAGCGACGAATTCACAAACAGGTGTGAAATTAACAAACGTGGTTGTCGTCAAAACTGTGAGCAAGAACTGTGTTGCAAGGGTTTCGAAGAGGGCTTGGCGTGGAAGAGAAAATGGCTCCGTGCCGGAATTCCGTGCGGCGGCTCTGCGTTTGCGGCGTGTTCGTGTTCTTTCTTCTTTTAGCAGATTCTGCTGCCGCGCAGGAGCTACAGCGGCAACGGGCATCTGGAGAAGTTGGTACTTGCCTCCCCTGAATCTCGAATTTCATGAATTTATCGCTCGTTGGTTTTCTTCTAAACCCTCTCTGGCGTGCCTCGGGTTCTTGTTTCATGTTAGCGACCATTTACTCGTTTCATGCTGCCTCACCAAATGAATTTCCGTCTGGTCAGTCTAATGTGCACTCCAGGTTTCTGAACTTGACCCTATCCATGACATGTATTACCTTGCGTCTGGTCATAATCGATAGAAGAACCTAATCTGTTCCGGTGTAAATTTTAACCATTCAGTACGGCGCAATGTTTTTCGAGTTTCATGCTCTAAACCAAATTTTACGCACATACGCCGATCTAGCTTCCAGCTAAGGCTTTTAAAAGCTTGAGTCGATAAACAATTTCTGTGCTACCGTTGTGGCTATTGCCGTAGGTAAACTGCTCTACCCGCCCACTTTAGAGCTATCGTCAGCGGTCCACGATGCTCCTTTACCTCAACCTAGATACCACTTTCGAATTCCTGAATCACCCAAAGCTGTGAATAGCACAACTTTTCAATCCATCCAAAAGAAACTCAAAGCAATTATCTGCTGTCTTCAAGAAACCTTCCAGTTTCTGCAAACCGACTGTAACAATACACTTTTTTTCTCACTAATATATACCCGGGTTGAATGTGTGCAACCCAGGTCCATCTCAAAATTTCTATCTCCGAGGAACAGCAGCATCTTTAGCAGAGCCCCAAGCAAGCATTGACGAATTATCCTTTGAAGAATTTGAGAGGCGAGAGTTGACAGATCAGTACAGCGACCCAGGCGCCAACTGTGAGAACGACCCCAGCTTGTGCCCGTGACGCATCCATGATGCACACTGCAATGTCGAAATGTTTTTAGGGTTAGCAATCATTGAGCTCCCAACTAAAGGTGTACCTGCACAACACTTTGACATATTGAAATGTTCCACTTAGAGTTGATGATGAACATGTGGGCTGCGTATCTTGGATATTGGCGAATTGGGTTTCTCCTAGTTCCTTCTTGTTGCTTGTGTGATGCTCTAAAATAGTGAGGTGTACCGAAAGACCGTTCTCTTCCCGTAGAAAAATTGCGTCTAATGATGTGATCATAACTTGGGGATTGTCCACTGGCCCAGAGACTTGGCCCCAGTCTTTTACGGCACGCTGAAGGCTAAAAATACACCTCCGTTGGAGGACTGAAAGAAACAAAATCAAGTAAACCATTTCGACTGTATGATCACTTCGCAGTCTGTTCTTGACCATCACTCGTTGAATGTTTGAAGAAACTCATCGATTCTTCGATTTGTAGAATCGACTCTCCCGCGCTTTTCAGGTTTGCTGAAGACTTATGTATGAAATTTTGCGTTAATTTGTCCGAACTGGGACTCATCGTGCAATCCAACACGTTGATTGCAGTGGAGGCGAGGCTTCGCTATCACAAAGCAACTGGTGCAAAGTTAAGTCGAAATTCCACAGAACTATCAAGGAAAGACAAAACAAAAAGCTGGAAGACAAATCTAACAAACATCCAAAAAAGAAAACTGAGAACGTTTGGAAACCAAGCATGTGCCAATGCGACTTTTATCAATTCAATCCTATGTATTTATACCGAGATGCTATTATTTTGCTGAATTGTTGCAATCTTTGTGATTTCTAAAGTTCCACCTTCACTGTTATGGCGCCATTCTAGATTCTCACATTTATATAAACAAACGACTAGGTTCAGTCAAACAGAATCTCCTGGAGTGTGGTGCAGAGGCCCTGTACACACCTTACGAAAAAGGTTGCTTCAGTGTATGATACTGTGTACCAAAAAGAAATGTAGAAGGCAACCTTTCCTTAACATGTCATGAAGGCGAACAGAACTTGAATCTTTACAACCACCTTTTTGTTTTTCATTTGTTCAAGTTTTCATTGATTCTTATCCTTCTATTTTCCATCCGCATCCAATTATGCTAGTGGAATTATGTTTGGAGTAAAAAATAGTTCTTGACAAAAGCTGCAAACTAACATTTTCCTTCATTATATAGTAGGCATGCACAATCTATATATATATATATATATATGTGTGTGTGTGTGTGTATATATACACTTTTATACATACATAGGGTGTTGTTAATTTCCCCACAAATTATGTTGCTGCTACAACAACTCACTATCCTCTCAACATATTTTTTTAGTTTTTATTTTTATTTTTATTTTTTATTCCATTCAAAATTTGTTAATATTTCCAATATATAAATTGATCCACTAAGAAATGGTTGTAGTGTCAAAAAAAATAAAAAATAAAAAATGCTGAAATCTTCATGAAATGGTCACAACAATAGCAAAAATTGTAGTGGTAGTAGTAATACTATATATATATATATATATATATATATATGTATAGCAACAGAATGAAATTCAAGGCATTTCTAAAGAATTAAGAAAAAAAGATTTAACACCAAAAGTATTAATTTAAGATTAGATCAGGATTACAAAGTATTGACACATGTGGAAAGAATTAAAAAAGAGGAAAGAAGTAGGATTGTTAGAATATGACGACTTTCACTCTTTATAATAACATTTTATGAATAATTAATTAATTAATTAATTAAAGAATTCAAAATAATATATTTTTTAAAAAATACTAGAAAATTAAATATCCATATAAAACTAAACTGACTCTTGATAAGACACTTTAAAACTTTTAATTTAATCTTTTAATTTTTTAATCTAAAATAAAAAATTATTTTAAGAATCAAATACAAATTAAAAATAATTTATGCCAAAATTAAGCATTTTCACAATCATATTTTTATTAAATAGGATTATTTTAATTTAAGAATAATATCTATAGAGTCACTTAAAAAGATTTTAGCATATTATTCTTATTAAATATTTTTTAGTATGAATATATTTTAAGCATGAGATATAAATATTGATCTTAAAATTTTACAAAAGCCAAAGCATGGTATATTTTCCATCAAGTTTCTTACTTAAATAATATAAAAAGATTAATTAATGATTTATTCATATTTAATCCACCTGTAATTATTTCTATAAGAAATATTTTAAATACATTCTATTATCATAAATAAGTATATAAATTAATTATATAAATATATTTTTTAAAATAAATATATATGATTTAAAATATTATGTATTTATTCTATATTAAAATTAAATTAAATATTTTTAATATAATATTTGTAGTTTTAATGAGCTATTACAAAAAATAAATAAGATGGTTATTTAATACATATGAAATCCAAAAATGAAAATATCATATTTTAAGAATATAATCTTTGTGTTGAAAAAATATAAAAAATTGATTAAATTATATAGTAAATTTTAAATTTTTATATCTTAATAAAATTTTAAATTACATAAAATATATAAGATATTTTAAAATATTAAAGAAAAATAAAAAAAATATAATAATAAAGAATTATATTCAAGAAGAAATTGGAATGACTATTGCTAAAAACTAAAAAATTAGAGACTCTTGAAACTAGACTAGAAACAAGAAAAGAATTGACAAGAGTGAAGTCTACTACAATATTATGAATGCTTTTTTAGTCATTAATCTTATTTCAAGAGTTTTTTTTTTTTTTTTTTTTTTTTTTAATTTTATTCGAATCTTTGGTAATACTTATTATAATTTAATATTATACCATCATTAAATAATTATCTATTCTTTTTTTAGTGATATAAGATTTTTTTTTATTTTTTGATTCTTCAAGATTAATATCATAGACACATGTGTAACAAGTAGTCAACTTATTAGCCAAATGTTCTATCTACCAATCACCTATAGACATGTATATAAGCAAAATCTCATTCATAAAGCTTCTAAAAAACTTTTCTACAAGATAATATTAATTTTATTTAAATATATTATCTAAATAATTATTCAAATAAATATGTATGTTTGTGACATTATTCCTCATTTTTAAAAATAAGTTCTAGAAAGAGTAGTCATCACATGTTGAAGAAGAACAAGATGCAACAAATTATATTTGCCACATAATTTTATCTTTGTTCTTTTTGAAGGTAGTTGATAGGTCATTTTAATTATAAATAGTGTTCTATATGAGGAAAAAATGACTACCTTGATATTTGATTATTGTTGATGTCTTTATAACTTCTTTCAAATAAAACATTTGAAATACTATCAAGAGTGGTTCCTACTTCCAATAATACTACCAAACATTAAAAGTCTCTTCTAAGGTATCATGAACATACATATTTATTCCAATAATTACCTGTATGATTAAATAGAAGTCAATAAGAATAGATTAATTTCTTAATATCTTCTAAAGAAGCTTATTAGAAACTTCATAGATGTTGCTTTGATTTTATACATGTTTATAATTAATTGGTAGTTTAGAAACTTTGTCAACAAATTAGTTACATGTTACATGTATTGATAGCTTGTGGAATAAGCTAACTATGTAGAACAAGCTAACTATATGGTACACATTTAAAAAAACTTGCCTTGCAAGAAAAGACATATATCTAATAAAGTCAACATGTGTTGGAGGTCCTATAAAACATCACTATATAGCTCTTAATTAGATAGTATATATGGAAACACAAGTAAAACCTTCTTCACTCTTGTCAACTCTTTTCATGCTTCTAGTTTAGTTTCAAGAGCCTCTACATTTCTAGGCTTTGACAACAATCATTTTAGCAAATAATAGCTCTTGAATTAAATTTATTGATTGTAAAGACTTTATAACTTTATCATCACAAATAAAAAAAAATCACAATCAAGTATAGATTATAGAATGCAATCTTTATTGAATCTTGTTTCTTTTTAAGTATAGAATTTCTTGACTCTTCCACTTAATTTTGATAGATGTTATTGATGAAAAGCTTTGACCTTATCTATTATATTTAGAAGATTCTTAGATGGCTCTTATGTACATTTATTTATATTATATTTTTGCTAATATACAAGATATTTAAAGTTATTTTAGTATGATTTTAAATCTAAAACTTCATCAATCTCAAATTCTCAATTATTATCTTTTCCTATAAAAAGAAGTGACATTTTTCCTTTTTTGGATATATCTATTATCTTATATGACTTAAGAAGAGACATGTAAAACACAAGATGGATCTCTATAGATTCTAGTGTTATATTTTATAAAGTCTTGCTTGAAAATGTATTGAATATTTGATGTAAAAGATAAATTAGAAATTATAACAACGATGTTTTATCAATTCTAATAGAATTTTAAATAAAATCCAAATAAAGCTTAATAAGCCTAATCAAACTTTTATCAAACACAAAAAAGACTTAAAGAATTTATAAAAGATTCATAAATAAATATTTAAAAAATAATAAAGATGTCAATAAAAATCTTATAAAAAGTTTAAAATAATAATTAAAAAATTCTAAGAAAATATAAAAATAAAATTCTAAAAAAATACTATACAAAATTCGAAATATATTCTAAATAAATTTTAATCAAATCTTAAATAAATTCTTATAAAATCCTAATATAATATTAAATAAATCATAATAAAATCCTAAAATAAATTATACGTATAATCTAATTAAATTCAAATTTAGTTCTAATTAAATCTTAATTAAATCCTAATATAATTCTAAATAAATTTTAATCAAATCTTATTTAAAAATTTAATTTTAAATAAATCTTTAATCAACCTAATAATAAATTGAAATGTTAAGAGTTCATAATATAATCATAGATTTTAACTCAAAATTTTTACACCTTTTAATTACTTGGTTGAAAATAAGCTTAAATAATTTGAAAAAAATAAAACTTATCAAATATAAGATAAACTCTATTATTAGCTTTGGTGTTGGTTAACTTCCTTTTCTAACTTCAATGCTAATTTTCCAATACAGATATCTCTTAATTTTACCATCCATTGGCTCTAAAATTTGCATAGTTTATGAAAATAAAGTAAATTATTAGTGTATGGACTTTTGTTTTAATAAAATTGGCAGATTTTTGCAAATTATAGGGATGCTCATTGATTTCCTAAATTCCAATTTTTGAGATCACAATACTTTTAAAATTCAAATTATCTTTAAATAAATCATTTGATTAAGCTTAAATTTACAACAGATATTTAACACAATAATATTCACTAAATTATAAATTTTCACATATAGATCTATTATTAATCTTACAAAAATTTCTAAAATATAAATTTTTATATTTAAAAAAAATCCAAATTTACTCCAAAATAATAAT